TACATATGTTGTACAATCGGCACAACACGGTACATAAAAATCTTGCTCTACAGACTACTTTGGTGAGTAGTGACCGGGGTCTTAAAAGCTTTCAAGCAGCTATCTAAGATGCAACTATTGGTCTTCTCTCATTTGAATCAAAGAACAGTGAAGAACATCAAAGATATCTGGAAACAATTGGTCCAATGATAAGATGGATCTTGAGGACCTCAGCCTTCATGACCTCGAGACCAGGAGAACTAGATGGTGCCCAGCTACCAATACCAACCACCCAGAAAGGGATAAAAACTGGAGATCCTGGACAGAGTGGAAGGAAAAATGTGGAACAAAATTCAAAAACATACTAAAGTGACCAGGATTACTGGTCAGATAGAGTCTGGTGGAACCCCTGAGACTAAGGCCCCAGGTTACCTTTTGGCCTAGAAATGGACTCACTCCCATGGATTAGCTCTCAGCCCAACAGTAGAAAGACCTACATACAGAACACCTACACCAGGCTTATGCACCCACCCACTCTAGGGAGATGCTTAGAGTAACCAGCCATGAGACATCAGAGGAGCAGCATTCGCATAGAAGGAAAGCTGGACAGACAGAAATGCATAGTTGAGAAGGGCACAGGGAGGGGGTAGTCACAGGGACTGGAGGGGAGGGGAGTTTTTTATGGTTGGGGATGTTAATCGGGGTGAAATAAAATGTGCACGATTGAATGTAAAACAAATTTGCTTTGTAAATTTGTACCCAAAGCACAATAAAAGTTAAATGAATAAATAGAGTCAATTATTTTCTGCTGTGGATTTTCTCTTACAGCTATGTGTTTTCAGTAATAGAAGGCATTTTAAACGAAATGAGAACCTTTTTTTTTTTTTTTTTTTTTGAGATAATACTGTTTTAACACAATTCATGGTACGCATATGTCCCCAGGGGTCTCGGGTACCCAAGTTGGTGAAATGAGGCCTATTTCTTCAGTTTCACACAGTTGTACAGGCCACCACCAGATGGCAACCCACACTAAGGTGGGATACCTGTTTCCCACTACATCCCGGGGATGGAAACTACAGATGAGCACTACATGTTCCACATGTTAAGTTTTTCTGTTTGTTTGTTATTTTTTCCAAATGCGTAAATCATCTCATCTTCAACCAGTGGGAGCCTCTCAAACTGATTCCTGTTTTCCTCTGATATTATACCATATTCCTCCATAGATTTTTCTGGAATATCTTATATATTTCCTCCCCCAGGTTTGAAACCAGACATATATATGTACTATGTTATATGCTATATACTATATAGGAGTCACTGGATGGCACAAATGGTTAAGCACTTGGTTACTAACTGAAAACGTGGCAGTTTGAATCCACCCATAGGCACCTCAGAAGAAAGGCCTGGTGATCTACTTCCGCAACATCACAGACATTGGAAACCCTGTGGAGCACAATTCTACTCTGAAATGCATGGGGTTGCCATGAGTTCCAATCAACTTCATGGTAACTTGTTTGGTTTGGTTTTGATACACTATAAACAGTATTTTGCACCTTGCTTTTTTTTCTTCACCTAACAATATGTGTCCTAAATATTACTCTATATCAGTGTATGGAGACTTTTCTTAATCCTTTTTCAGCTGCAGAAGACTCCATTTTGTGGATATATCTTATTTTTTTTCAACTAGTCCTTTATTAAGTAGTTTAGTTATTGCCAGTCTTGTGCTATTATTAAAAAATTCTATATCAAATTATGGTGTACACATGTCATTTTGTGGTTTTCAAGTCTATATTTGATAAAGATTCCTGTTGTTGTTGGGCAACCCTATGCACAGCAGAGGAAACACTGCCCTGTCCCATGCCAGCTCCACGATCCTTGCTATACTTGAGCCCATCCCTGTAGCCACTGTGTCAATCCATCTCATTGAGGGCCTTCCACCCTTTCATTGACCCACCACCTTCCCAAACCTGACATCCTCCTCCAGGGAATGGTCCCTTTTGACAACTTGACCAAAGTAGGTGAGATAAAGTTTGGCCATTCTCACTTCCAAGGAGAATTCCTGCTGCACTTCCTCTGGGATAGCCTTGTTATTTCATTTAGCAGTCCATGATACTTTCAGCATTCCTCACCAACACCATAATTCAAACACATCAACTTTTTGTCAGTCTTCCTTATTCATTGTCCAGCTCTCACATGTGTATGAGGTGATTGAAAATATCATGGCTTGTGTCAGGTGCACCTTAGTCCTCAAGGACACATCTTTGCTCGTTAATGCTTGAAAGAGGTCTTTTGCGGCTGATTTGCCCAGTGCTATAAGTCATCTTATGTCCTGACTTCTGCTTCCATTGGCATCGACTGTAGAACCAAGCAATGTGAAGTCTTTGACAATTTCAATCTTTTTTCCATTTATCGTGATGTTGCTTATAGGTCCAGTTGTGAGGATTTT